CCAGGGGGCGGAGCCCCAAGGAGCTCAGTGGTTTTAGACATTAAATTACCTTCAGATGAGCATCCAGGTGCCCGCCTTAGGGCCCTAGGTGGAATCCGGGGGCAGAGCCCCCGGAAGCACAGTGGTTTTAGGCATTTAATCACGGTCAGATGAGCAAATGTTGACACCTTATTATTTTGTGACAAAGGCAGGTCACTATTCTTTCTTTCTTTCTTTATGAATTTCAATAAATTTCAATGAACGCATAAAAGAGTATAATTTACTAAACATTGAGAAAAAATCTCAGAAAATTATGTCATTTCAGCAACATTTGTAAATCACTGGTATGGAATTAGAAATAAACCATGTTTGAATTACATTTGACGGGCATCTATCACCCTCCCCCCCCCCCCCCGATCTACTCCATTGTTGGCGGGAAAAATCGTAACTGATCCAGAGATGCCAACCAGTACAATTAAATCGTACTATTTAGTACGATAATAAGAGTGAAATACAATAATATAATATAATATCTCCTCTTAAAATACGATTTTTCAACAAAAAAAAAATTTAATTCAATTTTTTTTTTTTTTTTTTTTTTAAATCCATAAAAACCCATAAAAAAAGCTGAATTGCATAGAAACATGTACAAGTAAACCCTACAACCCCTCCCCCCCCCCCCCCCCGAAAAAAACTGTGCTTTACAATTTTCTCATTCAATTTTAATGAAAGAGCAAACATTTTACTTTACCGTACTGACCAGAAATTTTTCTGAAATTTTACTGCAAGTGTGGATGGCACACAGGGCATCAAAGACAGCACCCTCGATCGTGGTCAAGGGGAGCTGCAGGTTTTACATGTCATAGTTTGTCCTTGCTGCGGCATACACTTTCAAAATGGTGTTGTCTATCACAATGTCCGCACCTTTGGTCATATGCTGCGCATTGCACCTGACGGATGCGGGCTGGGGCATTCCTTCCATGTCGTCTTTTGCCGCAGTAAGAACATGGTTCTTGTCTCTCCTTGAAGCACCCTTGTTTGGTTTTCTTGTATGTGCTGCTAGCGGCATCTGTCTAGTGTGAATCCAGGAGTGAGGATGCTAACCGTTTGCCAACCTCTTTGGCTTCAATGAACTGGAAGACCTCCTCTGGGTCATGTACTGGTTCTTATCACTTAGGAGGTCAAGTTGGATTTCAGGGTCGGGGATACCACGTGTGAGTACATCCCATATCATGGCTTCAGTGTAGTTGATAGCGTCAGCGTCACAGCTAGGGCGTTGATAAGGGATGCCTGCTCGACCACGCAGACTGGCCCCAAAGCTACGTACGGTTTCATCACGGTCCTGACGCATATTATGCAGTGTGACCCTGGCGACCATATAGTGTTCTCCTCACAAACAGCAAGCTTCTTTATAGCCGCCAGGACCTCTTTCTCCGATTTGCTAGTGAGGCTACCACCTGCTGATCTGGTATGGTCCTTGCGCAAAGCTTCATCACAACATTCGAGGAGTTGCACCACCCTGTCCTTGCAGGTTATCTTGGTCACATCAATGTAGTCCGACCATCGTGACTCGAAGTAAGCCCATTCCTCACTAGAGCCAGCAGCAGCTATGGGGGCCTTTTAACCTCACGACCTTGGCAGCTTGTCCAGAGGTGTATATAACACTGTGGGTGTTCAGGAGAGCGACCACGATGGGGGCATCAAAGTCCGGGGTGGCGTAGCCGCAACCAGGGATGGGGCATTCAACTAAGGGCATTGTAGATAGGCTTGTAGTAGTACCGTGTTCATAAATAAGTACCTGTCTTATTTGTTTACACCAGCTGTCGACTTGGTTGACTAGCTGGATATCACAACGAACATGGTCTGTAAAGTAAGGGATAACACATGAATGCATGGGTAAGTCCAATATCCTCTCCTTTGATTCTGTATTCAGTCTTATACTTCTGACACCATTTCTTGGTCTTCTTTTGCTGATTTTCCGCCATTCGGAGTCTGTGTTAATAATATCCACCCATTGGTTACGTCGAACTATATGCTGAACCAATCTTTCGCTGCTCTAAATTGTCTTTTACTTAGAATGTGGTAGCAGCGAACATAGTGGAATAACTACATGCTAAAGATAGCACACGATAATTCTCATTCAATTCGCAGATATATATACTGATCAGCGCAAAAAAAATAAATCATAATTTAAAAAGGTAAGGGCAGGAGTTGGAGTGAATTACCGGGAGCCTCCCGATGAAATCGGGAGGGTTGGCATCAGTGGTGGATCCAGGGGGCCCGGGGGTGTACGATCATCTCTTCAAAGGTCATTTAAATCCCATTTCACATCCTTTCAAATAGATTATAGGTGTAGGATAGTCATTCTTGTCTTTGCATGTTAACCTATGGGAGTGAGATCTTTTCATAGGTCAAAAGCACCCATATAGGCGGTGTCACAGAGAAAAATACCGGCCTGTCTTGAATAAACCAGATTTTAGAAATCTAGTTTTTTCATTTACGTTGGTGACAGACTGGTGACAGACAGGCTACGAATAATCCGGACAACTAAAATTCAGATTTTTGATGGGCCATTGCGCATGTGCCGTTTAGGTTGAAAAGCATTAAATGCGCGCTAATATAATTGTGCGAAGGTTATGATAGCGCGTTAAAAACCCTATGCGAGCCAATCATGTAAAACTTACACTGACCTTTAAAGGGATTATTTCAACATTGGTGTCAGAAAAAATTCTGAAGGGATTTTTGAAGGGATAATTGGTGACAGACAGCCAATTAAGAGGATAACTAAAATCTGGATAACTAAAATCCGGATTTTTGGCCTCTGTGTGACACTGCCTATTGCTGCGAATTCATACGGTAAGTTACATTTCAAAGTAATGCTAGGGAAATCATAGCCATTCTCAAGAACCTTGTTTTCCAATGTTAAAGGTACTATGTCCCTTTTGCAGGCCCCAAAAATGAAAAAGTTAAATTCCAACTGCATTTGAAAGATGATACTAATTTAGAACTTCCCTAAAAAAGGTGGGGCTTGAAAATGTCTTCAAGTGGGAAAATAACGACTATTAGTTGTCAAATCGACTTTAGGGCTATAGAGCCCAAAAGTAATAGTCCTGATTTTCAGACAATTGTACCGAATGGTCATACGTTTTATGCTGTGCAAAGATTCAATCAGTTTGATCTTGGCCATTACAGGAAGTGGGTTATTGATGTAGACAAATGCTCATGTACCCTTTAGAACTCTTTTCATTTATGTTATTACCAAAGAAGAAAAAAAGCCAGTCATTTCCAGTTACCCAACTGGTTCCAGTTAGCATTCATTTCCAGTTAGAAGTCATTTCCAGTTACCCAACTGGTTCCAGTTAGAAGTCATTTCCAGTTACCCAACTGGTTCCAGTTAGAATTTATTTCCAGTTACCCAACTGGTTCCAGTTAGAAGTCATTTCCAGTTACCCAACTGATTCCAGTTAGAATTTATTTCCAGTTACCCAACTGGTTCCAGTTAGAAGTCATTTCCAGTTACCCAACTGGTTCCAGTTAGAATTCATTTCCAGTTACCCAACTGGTTCCAGTTAGAAGTCATTTCCAGTTACCCAACTGGTTCCAGTTAGAATTTATTTCCAGTTACCCAACTGGTTTCAGTTAGAAGTAATTTCCAGTTACCCAACTGGTTCCAGTTAGCATTCATTTCCAGTTAGAAGTCATTTCCAGTTACCCAACTGGTTCCAGTTAGAATTAATTTCCAGTTACCCAACTGTTTCCAATTAGCATTCATTTTTCAGTTAGAAGTAATTTCCAGTTACCCAACTGGTTCCAGTTAGAATTTATTTCCAGTTACCCAATTGGTTCCAATTGGAAATATTTCCAGTTACCCAACTGGATCCAATTGAAACCAGTTAATTTGCATATTACCTGCTTGTGTGCAGATCAATGTTTTATGTAATTTATTTTGATTTACAATGTATTTATTAAATAATTTTCATTTGCAAGTAATGCATTTTGTTTTAGATAAATATAAAGATTAATTAGCAATGATAAGCATGTTCATTAGTAACATATTTTTGTAATTACACAGATTAAAAGTTGATTAGTAAAACACTAACCATGTACAAACTACATCAAATACAAACATATATAATGGCAATGCCTTCCTTGTTAAGTATATTACATGGTCTGCATATTATAATGCCCTTTACATTGTACTTAATGTAGACACATATAACAATGATTCTGTGTTGACATGAGCGATAATTAGTGCAAGAGCTAATTAACTTAAAACTAATTAAGTTTATGCAAACTATAAGTTTCAATTGGATCCAATTGAAACCAATTGAAAAAATTCTGACGAAATCAATAGGTGGTCTGTTGACAACAGACCACCTAACCAGTTGAAACCAATTGAAACCAGTTGAAGCCAACTGGTTTCAATAGGGAAATTGGAACAACTGGTTCCAGTTGAAACCAATTAGGCAACTGGAACCAGTTAGCAATTGGTTTCAACTGGTTTCAATTGGAACCAGTTGGCAATTGGTTTTCAACTGGTTTCAATTAGAACCAGTTGTTCCAATTTCCCTATTGAAACCAGTTGGCAACTGGTTTCAATTGGTTTTGCTCCAATTGGTTTCAACGGGATTTTGGTCCTGGGGTAGTCGGTCTCTTACATTTTGCCTTATGTCTATGCAGCTGGTACACTGGATGAAGAATTTTTTTTCATACTGGGAAAGGAGTATAAAAAAAAAAGGGAATTTTTAAATTCCATCAGGGAAAAATGAGGGCACAATCAGGGAGTTTGATTTTTAAGAATACCTGGGAACCCTGTACTAAAGATACTGGTATGTTAATTTTCATGTTTTAATCTGCTGAATCTTTGATATTCAGAGAGGATTAATGTATTCCTAATTTCTAATATATTTGAATTAAATAAATATGTATTATTCATTTTGGCAACTTTTATGGAATTTTGTGTAATTTGAAAGCTGTTATATGAGGCATACTTTTAACCTTCATGATGCGTTTCTTCACAGTGAGCTGAGAATCCCGATGTATTCCGAAAGGGAGGTAGGGATCGCATACAATAGTCTCTGTGTGGACAAGGAGCCAAGACCTAAAGAGATCACTAAGATGTTGAGAGTAGAAGGAACCACTCTTGTTGTGTAAGATGTTATTTTTATGCCTCCGTCCGACAAAGGTGGTGCCAGAGGCATTATGTTTTCGGGTTGTCTTTATGTCACTCCATATGTCTGTGTGCATGTCCGTTCCGCTTTCTTATTTGCACAATACCTCAAGAACCACTGGAGGTATGAGCTTGGTGATAGTTTGTAGTAACATAGGAAGATAATCTGATGAGATTTTGGGATAAGTAGGTCAAAGGCCAAAGGTCATTACATTCAATTTCCAAGAAAGGATTTTAGCCCTATTGTACATGTATCAAGAACAGTTGAGCTATGAACTAAGCACATTAATACTGATTAATGTGCAACAACCATAGTGAGACAAATTGATCAGATTGTATAGGTAAGAGAAGGTCAAATGGCGAACTTCAGCAAGTCAATTTACATGAAATTAATGTTTTTTTAAAACCTTCTTGTGACCAAATCAGTGACTATTTTAAGCTATTAAAGCAGTGAACTTGATACTAGTATGCATCACTGTAGGGGGACAAGTGATCAGATTTTGGGATTATCATGTCAATTCATACAGGTCATAATGATCACATGACATCTAAGCATAGCAGAGCTGCCGACAATTAGTTTTTTCCCAGAATTATTCTGTTTTCACTTACCGCATGTCAACCAAATGCCCTAAAATGTTGATCACTACCGGTACTTCAATAGAAAAATTTGATAGAGATTTATGAAGAGTATGAATTTACAAATAGTAAACAAGAAAAAAAGGGAACAAAAGTGAAAGGCATAAATATTCTCAAAAAGAATAAAACGCCGATAATACCACAACAACAAAAATAACACCAAAAAAAAACCCACCTACTTTTAAATACCAGTAAACTATATTGGTCCTAATATGGAATAACAGCATGAGGAATGGACATTTCTGCATTGGACTTGAGTCACGCATGGTTGTAACTTGTTTTGCTTGAAAAAAAATTGTTGCCATCATGATTTCTTTTTATTGGTTGCACAAGGTCGGCAGCTCTGGTATAGGCTTTTTGTCCTCATGTTGATAGTCCAAGAACAATTCAAGCCAGGATCTTAACTGAATTTAGGCGGTGGCATATATTGGAAATATGTGGCAGTTGTCTTGTTTTGTTGTTTGTTGTAATCCTCTCTTTTTATATCCCACCATCTTGCCATATCAATCTGTGGTACCCAATACCATGTAACCCTTATCTTTGGAGCAAGTTTTTTTGCTTCTTCATTAATTAAGGTTTCCCCATTGAATTATTTGTCAAACCATATATAATGTACAATTCAAGTGTGGAAAAGCAGTGTAGCTCTAGGTATAGAGGTACATGTATGACCATACATTTTCTTTGACTAGAGATGAAAAGCAGATGCACATCTCTGAACAAATACATTTTGTATGTCACAATGTACACCAAGGTTATCACTCTCTCTATCTGTATGAACATTTTCCATTGTGCTCGGTCCACCTAAATATTACTGTGAAAGCATGAATTAATAGACATGATTGCATGTACACGTACAAACAACATTTATGTTCTAAAACATCTCCTTTTTTTTCTTTTTTTTTATCCCAGAGGTTTTGGAGCTTTCCTTCACTTTCTTGGTGTGAAAATATTGAACAAGATATTTCTGTTATTTTTTAATAGTGTACATAAACTATTGCAGATTAAATCCACATATCATGAATAGATATATGAAGCTGTGCTTATGTGTATAAAATCAATTATATTTTATTTCATGTTGGCAGAAATTTCAGTGCAACTCAAGCAAGATTGATGAGGGTTGCTGTTGGATCCTTCATGGATTTCCTTCTGTTAGTCACCCAAACTATGGACGAGTTTGGACGTCCAGTAACAAGAGATCCAGTCATTACATAACACACCATTTGACATTACCAGTAGTCTGTAAAAGATACAGACTTAGTTGTGACACTTTGCAACAATGTGTGCTCGCTCACGACATACGAGATATGTGCTTCTGCCCAATGGACTCCAATGTGATGCTTTTCATGTATGATTGCTTAATGTATACAAGACTGGAGCATGTAGTGCCTCATTGGGACTCTATAATTAGGACGAAGAAATTGTCTGCGTCATTATTTGTACGATTGTTCAATTTTATAAAAAAGGAAGCACTTTCGTACATATATTGCAACGGTCTATGACAATCTTTTAGGTGCAATTACATCCCTTCAGTTTAAAAATCCATCCACCATTACCTCATCAAATTAGTTATGTGATCACCTGTTATTTTGTATGTGTGAAAAGTATTGGGAAATTAATGTGAAGCAATGAATTCACATCATTTCAATATTCATATTTCACTTCTACACAATACCACTCAAAAAAGCATGTACATGTACTTATAGCATTATTTTTTGTTATATGTTTGTAGGTCCTACCTATGGACATTATTATTGCTAGCCCTAATTTATATGTGGGATAGGGTTACATTAATAATATTAATAATTTTGTTTACTCAGAGAAGCCTCATCAGCTTTAATGTAGTTCTTCCTGAGGGCCCTGCAATTTCCATTACCCCAGCAGTTGCCAGGGTAACCCATTTACACCTGGGTGGAGAGTGTCAAATGTGGATGAGGTCTGGCCAAAGCATGTCAGTATATACAGTTAACAGCTGAATTATTCATACTCTTGGTAAATTTGATGTGTTTTGTAGTTAGAATGAATGGTTGAATTAGGGTCTTTGTGATACTTTTAGATGTAAGCTTTAAAGGTAATACATAGTTTTATAATTGATTACCATAACCTTTCATGTATGTACCTTTCCTATTGCACTTTGTATTAATGTATCATGTATGTATTTCATCTATTGCACAAGCTGCGCCTTGAGCATTTGACTGTCAAGTGGATTTGGCGCCTCATAAATCTTATGTATTATTATTATTATTGGCATGGGGTCATGAATTTGGTTCAAATGAACATATTGGAAGCATATGCGACCCTACAATATTCAGTGATCGTTCTCGCGGTTGAAATCGATTCTAAAGTTATAAAATTATAAATAATAAACTCTGTATGTTGTATAGCTCCCTCTCAAGGTCAAAATATTAATTAAGCTATAAAACAATGTTTCTTGACTAAAATCGACCAATTAGCTATTCCCGTTTGGAAATTATATATCACAACTACATATTCTGACATTTTCATGGTCGAAGCTACCATTGTACGGCCATACGGCGCTTTTTGAAATTTATCAGAATTTACCGGGAGCACCGGTAAATTGTTATATTCAATTTTTCTCAAAAGCAGAAGTGTTTTAGGGGCTAAATTTTCTAGTGCTTATATTACATCCACAGGGGCATCCAAATATATCAAAATTGAAAAGAATCACCACCATCAATTTTCCAAAATTCCCAAACTTTGTATTATCTTTAATATGTCACAGTCTCAAAAAACATAAAAAAGGACAAATAAATTTTCACATACTGGTACTTAAAAAATACAATACTTGGAAAGGGTATAAATAATGTAGTTGTTTATATGAATACCGTCCGTGTGAGTCAAAAAAAAGTTTACACCTAGAAAATTTTAATTTTTTTAAAATCATCTATGAACAGTATATTATTATACATCTTATGAAAGAGTGTTTTATCCCAAATCATTTGATATCATTTTTGTGTGGTATGTGTTCACGCTTTGATGAACAAGAGGCATTGTTTGCGATAGTGCAAAAATTGACTTGCGCCAAAGTGATGCCTACAGCATGTATTATGTTGGGATTAGCGGAGTGAGAGAATGAATTGAATGTATCAAATGACATGCATTGCATATGCTTTTTGCAGAAGCAAAGTCACACACGCACACACACACGTTCACACATGTTCTTTGATATTCAATATTTGATATGTGTGGCATGATTAAATTTGTTAGGGATGTTATTTTGATCTGCAAAAACCGATTTAATAACCAAATCCCAATTGTTTTATTCAATCATCACATAAGCCACTTTGGCGCAAGTCGATTTTTGCACTCTTGCAAACAATGCCTCTTTTTCATCCAAGCGTGAACATATACCACGCAAAAATGATACCAATTGATTTGGGATAAAATACTCTTTCATAAGATGTATAATAATGTACTGTTCATAGATGATTTTTATAATAATTAGCAATTTTTCAAGGTGTAAACTTTTTTGACTCGCACTGTATATGACCATATGTTATATGTATTTGTTATACTTTACAAGATGTTTTTTTTTATTGGGTATTGTTTTAGAACATTAAAAAAACTATTCAGCATGATATGGTTTCACCCATATATGTACTGCCAAAGGTTGAGAGCTAATCGGCAACCAACAGGAAAACATGTCTTGAAATAAATTCTTTGTAATGTGAATTCACCAAGTCTGCCAAAATGTTCTGATTAGTAATCATACACAAAAAGTTGATATATCAGATGGAAATATAAAAAATGATGTGATTGCAAAGGAATGAATATGAATATTTTTTGTAGATGAGTAAAATCTGTGCAAATTTCACTGATTCCATGTGAGAAGAAATAATGTGATTCCATGTGAGAAGAAATAATGTGCTACATGTTCAGAATAATTTGAAAATTCTCCTTTGAAATGTTTTTATCATGAAAAAGATTAAATGTTGAGATCATCCTTAGAACTATCATTTCTGGTAATTGAACAAATATTCTTTGAAATAATTTATAGTTGGTTGAAACACTTATTATAAATTATTGTACAAGTTATTATGTACTTCTTTGATGATATGTGCATTTATTCGCTCACAAAGCAACAAACATTTCAGGTCTTTATATTCCTTCTAAATACATGTACATGTATATTGAATGAATCCAAAGTGCTGTTTTTTCTGGGGGATCCACAACCTACAAGCACTGCTTTTTAGTGGATCCCCCCCATTTCCTCAGAAATTAAGAAATTCTTGTAATAATTTTATTATGTGCAAAGTTTATTTGTATAGTTTCTTGAAAAAATGAATTATGTATGAAATCAAATGTAATATCTTTGTTTACCTTTCTGTTGGAAATGAAATAAATATGAATATGAATATGGATGTTTACACTGGTAGGGAATTTGTGTCACGTTTTTCCTGTTATGATGCCTTCATTATCTTAGGGTTCTGTGGATTGCGGTATGCAACTATGCTGAAATGATAGAATTACCGTAATTAATTTGAAACTCATATCCCTTAAATATATCGCTGTGTGCAAACTCTCCACACACCTTTTGAAATTATGCAATTTTCTGCCATTTGTAAGCTATCAAACTGAGATATATTTTCTACTTGAGAGACAAAAGCATGATCTGTAAAAGAATTTACAAGATTAAAAAAATAAAATCTATCAGCATTATTCTTTTGAATACGGTACAGACATATGTATTTACTACCCGTGTGCCATGTTATAATCTTTGAGGGCTCTCAATTTAGTGCTAGAAAGGAATATTTCACTCATTATTACCTTTTTGTATGTTTGTGCTGTCCAAATGACATTAGACTTGTGAGCCTTTTTATGACTTGGAAAAAGTTGACTTTATCTGGTATCTTTGAACATGATCATCAAAGATCCAGGGTGGTCATAGAATAATAAATGGATACTGTCACAAAACATTGAATGTTGGTAAAAGGAAGGATGTATTAATGATTTAAGGATATTCACATGGAAATGGGAGACAAGGAAACAATAATGAAAATTTTTTAGCAATGAATTAATACATTCCATAGACGATTTATTGATAAGGCAATATACAAAACAAAGTAGAAGTTTCCATTCTCTCTTTAAAAGAACATACGATTCACAATTGTTATAACACTAAAATTAAAATTGCCTCAGTAATTAAAAAGATTTCGTGTTCCAAAATAACGTATTCCTAATAATTTGGTCTGTCTTTTTTTACTTTATAGATGCACACCCTCGTTTAACAGAATAAGAATACAGGTATATATATGTGCATTTTGCAAAATTGCAAAATTGCAAAATATGAAGAGAGGGAGGGGACAGGAGAGAGAGAGAGATTAAGGAGTGTGAGATAAGTAGAAGTATAGACTGGTATAGACCAGTTTTGGGAATGCCCCCTTCTCAAAAAATGAAATGGAAGCTCTTATTACCAATCATGTGAAAGAATACTAAAGTGATGATACAAATTTTGCTGGGAAACCGCCTACTAAATATGATCACATTTTTCCTGTTCTCAAAAAGCTGCACTGGTTGCCAATCGCAAGCGCATAGAATTCAAAATCCTTCTCACATGGAAGGCTGTAAACGGATTAGCACCAAACTATTTACAAAACCTTGTTATGCCTTGTACACCAGCTCGTAGTCTAAGATCATCACACCAGCATCTTTTTAAGATCCCAAAGACACAAGTAGCCTGTGGTGAAAGGGCTTTTTCATCTGCAGCACCTTGTCTTTGGAATAATTTACCATTTAATTTGAGAATCATAACTTCCTCAGAGACCTTTAAATCCAAGCTGAAATCTTGTCTTTTTTAACAATGCCTGTACTTGGCACTATGACACTCATCCGAACATTCTCGTCCAAACTTTCTCATTCTTTCTATTTTTCTTGTGCGCCTCGGAATAGCATTGTCTAGATAGACGGCGCTATACAAATGCCTATTATTATTATTACTAATAATAATAATAATAATAATAGCCTAATAGTCCACTCAAAATTTTATTAAACCGAAATGGAAATTCTTTTTGCCCAATTGATCGTGAGTCCGGCAGCCACTGAGCAGCGCCAGATCGACGTTGCTCTATCCCTTATTGTTGAACGCCAAACAAGGTAGCAACAACTCCCATCTTTTAACGTCTTTTGGTATGACGCGGCCGGGGTTCGAACCCACGACCTCCCGGTTGTGAAGCGGACGCATTACAACACTGGGCATATTTCTGTTTATTGCGAATTTAGGTTGAAGTATTGCCATCTAAACCTCTGAAGGCAATATTTTAAGAATAATGAATGGAGATTTTGCACCCAAAACCCTTGAACCGCAATTTAACCAATACCGGTCTACATCTTTAACTTCATCAAACATTACAACACAACAAAGTTAGATTCAATGTTTCAACAGAGCACCAAAGGTAATATCCAGTCTTGTCAAAGATTTTGGTAAAAGACCATGGCATTGTTTTAAAAGACCACCATTAGTACAAGTTTGTGGAAACCCCCTGGAACATCTTAATTTTAAAACAAGTTTTGAAACTGGATGTTGGTGAACTAGTACATGTAGCAGTTTCGTAAAATAATATGTCAAGATTAATACCCCCATTACCATCCACATCATGGTACCAAAACAATGAAATACATTGTTTAATGACCCAATGTATTTCATTGTTTTGGTACCATGATAACCATGGTAATTTGGACAAAAGTACCATGGTTACCATTTTGTAAGGGGCACGCTCAATTTTTTTTGATAACTTTAGTAATGTTTGACGGATTTTAATAAAATTTGATATGATGGTAATTGGTATAAAATTACAGTCTAAGTTCAATTTCAGAGTATGTAGATCAAAGGTCATAGCTTATTAAATATGCAACAATACCTAATTATATATGCGAAAATTTGGTTTTCATTCAATAACGTAATAAATGTTGTCAAGTATATACGTCCAGCTCATTAAACAAAACTAGCTACAGTAATTACATGTATGTATGTATGCAAAAACAAGGTTTCCGTTTGGAAGCTATATTTAGACACCTTGGGTCATCAGGGTCGCACATCTGGTCATAAAAATTGTATCTCTCTACAAATACACCATTGTCATTCAGGAATGACTGATGAAGATTTACCGATGTAGTCTAGAAGGAGACGGAATATAATCTTTGAAAAGTACGCTCAGGAAAAAACATTGATCCATGTGATATTCATAACGAGGTAAAACACATCACATGTATTAAAGGTATATAGACCAGTTTTGGTCATGCGATTGCATTGTGAAAGAAACAAGCACTGTACACAGAAAGATGTATGTAGGACTACCCGATATCTATCCAGTCCAGATAGATATAATAATTTACCGAATATATCAATTAGTAGGCGGTTTCCTGGCAAAATTTATACCATCACGTATATAGTCAAAACATATTATTTCACATGATTGGTAGTAAGAGCTTTCATTTTTTGAGAGGGGGGGGGGGGTGTTTCCAAAACTGTTTTTTACCTTTGATAAGGAGAATATATGTCAGATGTACATTTTTTATTTAATTCTCAAACATGCAGGCTTTCTATATTAAACTATTTTGGGATTTTAATAGGTGCATGCCTCTAAAAACAAGAAAATTCATAATTTTTTCGAGTCCCACACTACTCTTTTATAAAATTTAGTATACAGATATTGACTGGTAGGAAATTACATTCACATCTCCAGTCAAGCGCCTTAAACCACTCAACCACAACACTCCCACGTTCAGTATAGGAAATGAACAGAATTCTTTATGACATACAAAAACGAAAAGCCTATATTTATGTCATCCGATGACTATGATCTTGGCCTAGCTATACGCCCCAAAATGTATTTGGATCATCTTTCTATAGTTATACCTGTCACCATGTCTAGACATTGCGATAGGAAGGCTAAAAACTTTAATTTCAGAAATTGACCTCTGTGACCTTTGACCTATTTACCATAAGTTTAATTAGAATGTCTTCCTATGGTGATACATACTATCATCAAGTTTGAAGTTTATATCTAAATTGGTTCTTGAGATGTTTTGATAACGAGAAAGCGGGATGGACAAACGGACAACCCCAAAACATTGGGCGAAAGCATAAAATGACCGGGAGTGAAATATGCTCATCAAGATTCTTGTAATTGATATCACATGACAAGTTGTGGACCAATCACAACTTTGTATCTGGAAGAGCTAATCTAATGTCACTGTATATTACCTTCAATCAGCCTAATGATGACATGAGAGTAAACAAGCTACTTTAAATATAGCTTTGAATTGTAATTGAAATCCTCAGAATCTCATTGAAGTTCAGAAGCTATAAATAAATGAAAATGATCTGCTATGCAAAGCTGATAGAAATAGTATAATCACACTTGATGAATATTAGAGAGAGAAAGGGACATTTGGGTCTACAATACAATACCTATACATGTATTTACATATCTCTAATGTTTCTTTTAAGCAAATACATTGTAGTCTAGTTTGCTATACCCTAAAACACATATATGATGTACAAGATCAACAATTAAAAACTAATATGAACAAATCTAAGAGAGATTCTCTTGGAATGCAGTATTATAATCGGCACTCGATCAAGAATAAATGACATACCATTCTTATCAAAAGTCATGTGATGCCTTTACATCTCTCATTAATTGCCAACTATACTTCTTGAAGTAATGATTAGAAAGTTGTTATTCAATGCTGCAAAAAAAAAAAAAACATAATTCAAATTATGATAATGCTGACAAATTTCCTGTCACAAAATGAATGCCAATTCATATGAAGGCAATATAAATAGGCATAGCATATCAATCTGACTACTGCGATATGGATGTTTGCTCCATGATTACTATCTACAATTGATGAAAGTGTTCACTGAATAATCACAATGTGGGATAAAAACTAACAACAAAATAATAAATGCTTGATATGGTCATGACAAATGATCACTTATTTCTCATTCGACGAAATCAGAAATGATTGTACTTGACAGTGAACTCAAATTGCACCAAATTTGAAATAAATGGCATTAAAGGCGTTAATATCTTCACATTATTATTGTTACAATATTATACACAAGATCCTTGAATAAGAGAAATTAAACTATATAAAATACTCGATTTTTTTATAGACATACATGCAGTTTCAATTAAGAAAAGAACATTCCATGAAATCAAATTAGTATGTGAAATGACACAGTTTTCTTTCATTATTAATCTATTCATGAATCCTCTTATTCACTTTGTATTATCTGATTGCCATCTTGACCCATAAGATTGTATAAATCTAATAAAAGCTTGAAAATACATATAGCAATATGGTGGTGTGACCACGGTTCCAGAATAATAATAACAATAATTACAGTAGGGTGCTTAATACGGGCCTTCGTAAGCTCACATACAGGTGGCATTGTCTAACTTGGTATAAGTATTCAACATGTTCAATAGCTTAAAAGCAACAAAATAATTAACTATTTGTGCACACCTCTAGTATACTATTACTGATTAAAAAGGTGGGTTTTGAGAAGGGTTTTGAATGATTCAATGGATGGGGCATTTTGAATATAGGGTAGGAGTTTGTTCCAGAGGGTGGGGGCAATCAATGAAAAGGCATGGTCACCATATAACAGGTTTTGGTAAGTGGGCCGTGAATTAATTGCGTGGAGGAGGATGAACAAAGGGATGTGGCATCTAGAGATGGATATGTTTCACTTTATAAATATTGTTATTATTATTATTATTATCATGATATCTCCAGCTAGTTGCTGTACATTGGGTAATAATCAAATGAAATAGAATTGTGTATAATATGAGAAATCGTGGATCAAATGTCACATCACTAATATCTTGTAAAAATCTCTATGAAATTTGGTCATTTAATCATACAAAGTGAACAACAGAGTAAATAAATAAAGGAATAGAATGTATAGATATTAGACAAAGTCACTCTTTGATTTCAAAACTTGTTTAATTTTAATTAATCACAAAGTTTTTGTTTTACCACTTTCATGGAAAATGTGTAAAATTAAAATTAATGTATGCTGCATAAGGCACTCCATCAACATGGAGGATATTCCCATCTCTCGACTACTTCATAGTGATTTACAAATATTTGATCCAACAAATATACACGTCTTATGAACAGGTTATGGCAATTATTCATCACCATGATCCTTGCTTGAATATTCGCTTTGGTTCAAATTGTTTCATCACTCACCTTTCACCTCTGACCCCTTCGCCCAAGTACATACTCCATTCATCCCTCTTTGCTTATTGCCTCAACAGGTCACAATTATAACTGTAACAAGGCATTCATAAAATCGGACGGACAACAAAATTAATGCCTTTGATACCACAATCTTCGTCAGATCTGCTTATACATGTACATGTACGTAGTCAGCATCCAAATAGAGAGCACACACATTTTGCAGCGGACCACCCCCCCCCCCCCCCCCCCCTCTCCCCTCACCTCCCATCCATCCCTTGACAAAAAGACCGTTTTAACTCCCTGTCAGTAAATAAGAAAATTTGAGCATCCCCTTTTCACTTTTCAAAAAAATTGCCAGTTTTTATCTTGTAGATCAGAATAAAATTTTGCAAAATCAGTTTTACTAGGCAGCTCTGTTTTGTCCAATAAATCAACCCCCATTTATCTATTAATCATACAACACATTTTAAAGTCATGCATATCAAGATGGATATTTCAAGCCAAGATTAGAACTACCGGTAGTCTAATAGAGTGCTTAATATACACAACTCAAGTAGTACCGAATAGTTATGATATTTAAACTTTATTAGTGAAGAGTAAAAAATGGTTTTATCTACAACAAATCTGGTAATGATTGAATATGGCAATGTAAAATCACGGTAAGTCAAAGTCTATTGCCCAAACAGATAACAAACAACTTGTCTACTTTTGGTCCATCCATGTATTGTACATGAAGAAGTTTTAAACATTTTACAATATAAAACATGTTGTAGAATGTAGGAAATCTTATTGGTCAAATGGCACCACATGACCATGCTTCATTCTTTTGTACCACACCTATCATGCAAAAATGTAGCTATCAAAAATAGATAATGCACGGCTGAGATGCGCATATATCCATCTCTGGCATGTACAAAATGAAATGCATGTAGTTTCTAATGACAAGGACATTAATGCACACATTGAGACAGACATTCACTGTCTGGCTGCGCGTATATACTGTGATGTTATTCAAAACAAATGGCATCCCCATGACTGTGCAATTCTTGGAATTTTTATCTTTTTTTTTTGTGCTTATTCTCGACCTGTCTTATAAAACGAATAATTAATGTTATAAAGCTCGTGCAGTTTAGAGACATTTATGGTTAAAGTAAAAAAATCAATTTATAATGATTCTGTCGAGCCGCGTTGATTATCCATTTGTGACTTAACCTGCATGCAGTGCATATTCACTAATGCACTCCCAAACATAAGTCATTTCACTATCTTTATAGATAGCCAACTAATCGAATCGAATCTATGAAATTAATCCTTCTCAGTTGAGGAAATTAAATATCACACTGAGGAAGCTGACATAATTGCAGTCAAGCCAAGCTTCTAAACAAACTGAATTAAAATTCTCTAATTTTTAAACAGAAGGGTATGCACCCGAGTATGAAAGTATGCATAAATTCACAATAGAAATATACACCGTCTCACAATTTGAAAAACTGGAAAATATATATTATTCCGTCTTCTTATAAATTGTTGCATCTAGCTGTATGACCTTTTGGGATAGTTTACAATCAATTCAACCATAAAAGGACCCCATGCTTTCATGAATCTTTTAAGCCCCAAATCTAGCACATCTTTTGATATCAAATTCATTAAATTTGGACAATCGGTTGCTGTAAAGTATTTTAAGAATTGCACGCTGCGCTCATCAAAATTGCCTATCTCCCTATACTTATGCACAGGAAGCTCGATCATCACAGTTACATGTGGTCACAGGTGTAGTATCTTGCAAGGATATGCTGTATTTATTGTAACTTACTTTCTCAAATTAGTTCTTGATGTTAAAGTTTTGTCAATGTCAAGTTCAAAGTCGAGGTCAAGCAATGAAAGTATCGCTCATTGTCTAACATATCTATTTTCAGCATAATTTTGCATAAATCACTGGAATTTGAAAAGAATGGTTTGGAAAATATCAGGTTTTATATATACATATAACCATAGAATAACCATATACAAAAATGCAATATAACCTAGCAACCCCCCCCCCCCCCCCACTTTGTTGTTGTCTCAAATTCATATACATGTAGAATAATCAATGGTCAAAAGAAATATACATATCAGCTTTTTTGCATAATTAGCTATTTCTGATGTAAAAACCGTTGAGCTTTTCATATGTGATATTGACTGAAGAGCTAAATACAAAAGATAATAAGATATAAGCCTAAATAAACATTAAATTGCATTATTTTTATTACAAATTACTTAGGACAACCGCAAAAAAAATCTATGGCTCCACGGCCATGAACTGGTTGTGGCATGGGCTAAATAATCTGGCCCTTTTAGTGTTACCATTTTATTTTACATACAATACTATTTTAATTTTTTACATGCTTCTTAACATTATACTCTTATTTATATATATGTTCAGCTAATTATTTTGTATTGCATATTACAGTTGTGATTAATGTTTTATCACAAATATTTTTCATAAAAATGAACACTCACTTAGCTCTTTACTCCCAAGTGACAAGATTGATATTAAATATTGCATCAAAATTAGATTTAGAAATGAGAATATGAGATGATATCCACTGAAGAGTGTAATGCCTGAGAAATGTACAAAAATAAATTCCTCTTTCTTGCACTACAATAAACGTCAAATTGATATAAGAGTAGATGATATAGTCTATAGAGTGGTATGTTTGATTTCTGAAAGGTCCTTCGCAAGAAGGGCATACATGTCTCTTGCTGTCTTGATGTTGGCTTCGGCGTAAAGCACCAGTGATTTCTGGAACTCTATCACTCGTTGATGGTTATACACTTGAAGCTGGAGATATTTAAAACAGAATGTGACACAGACAAATGGAAAATAATGAGTTGTAATCATAGTTGTGGAGTGAATATTATACATTATTTATTCAATCACACTTTAAATTATGAAAATATGTTTTATCATCATTATCACTACAACATCTGATGCTTTGTAAATATAACTATTGTAGCTGTCACAACAAAAACTGCTAATGGAAAATATTTGTTTACATTTACCACACAGACACTTGACCTAGGTTGGTTAGATAGGCTTCTTTTACTTTCCTCCTCCCCCCCCCCCTCCCTCCTCCTCCTCCAACTCCTCGACCACCTCCAACTCCACATCCTACTCCGACTCCTACTTCTACCCCTACAATGTACTTCTACTACTTCTACATTACTTGTTCTCCTGATTTTGTGTTTCTGTTCCTTATCTAAAAAAAATAAAAAAATCGATTTAGTAGACTTACTTCTTTCTTTGCTATACTTGAGATGTCATTAAAATCCTTCTCTTTCTTCTCTCTATTTTCCTCTGCCTGTAATGATGAATCATTCAAAAAGAAATAAATGCATCACTTTAATTCACTTGAAGAAGCCAATGGAACCAATGAATGCTATTTTATTCTCATCATATCACATTTTTTACTAATAGATGTCACATAGATGTCTTCTTTTCCAAGTACAGCTTAAAACTAGTAGTTTTAGATAATCTTTTTGGATGCTTGTCACTGAATTCTAAATACAGTCATAGCAGAAGAAAAGTAATTTCATGTATCATTCAGAAGTCAAATGCAAATGATCTACTGCCAAACAGAGGATGTCCCATTTACCTCTACAGTATGTGTAGTATCCATATGTACATTTTGCGATTATCAAGCACTTAATCAACTATTTTGTTGTTGTTGTTGTTGTTAACATGCCAAGGGACACTATTAACTTCATCTGACATGATCACATCACGTTGTATTAATATTTGTGCAAAAAATTTCCACCTGTATGGAGTGTCTTTCTGAACTTACAACTGCTCTCTTCTGTGGGTTTGCCTTGTTGAGTGTCTTCACTGCACTGTCAAACTCTACCAGCTTCAATGTTCTTCTGTGCAACATTTCCTGAACAAGTCAACAACAACAACAAATAAAGTACATGCAGCTACTTCACCCTAGGATTTTGAGTGGATTTTCTTTGCAGACATGACACAATTTGATTGAAGTGACATTGCAGCATTCAAGTGGGAGTGGATTAGTAGGCCTAAATCGTCAAAGAAAGGCGTGAACTCTGTGTTAAAGTCAATACGTATGAGTAAATAAGTATGATTAATCTTTCAAGCTCAAAGCAGATGAAGTCACTTTGCAAGTTGAGAGTATGCTTTAACATATAACTTCCCTTCCATTGCTGCAACATTCTTTGACTAGACAAACATTAGATGTTTCCCATTGTCATTTTGCATTCAACAGTGGACTAGCCCAGTTATTCCTGCCACAACTCCCATGTATTTTGGTCAGTTTAGGGTCTGATAAGAGGAGTAGATTATCCCCCCCCCCCCTCAACTTTGACTGAGTTGAGATTCCTCATATACGTAGGATTTGACTGGAAACTGTCTGTATAGGAATGAATAATTACTAAAATTGCTTAACATATATAGAGAGCATACATGTATAATAATGAAAAAGCTCATGATGTTTCAGATCGACATCTAAAAGAGTATGGAGACATCAAAGGAAAATTCTAATTTGTATACCGGTATATCAAATATGATTTTCTTTACTTTCAATTTTTTTGTTCTCAATTATTCTTCACTTTTTTTAAATGCCGGGTTTATTGTATGACCTTGACATCAAAAGATCCATAAGACTTAAGGGTACAGATCATGAAAGCCTGTGCCATCAAAATTCTTCCATCATCACCTTATTCCAGTGTAAGATTAATAAGTTAATCACATTTTCTGTCATGTAGCAACAAAATAGTTAAGTCATGAATGATACCTTCTCAGCTTCTGCATATCTTGCATACACATCCAGGAAGAAGCCTAATGTCACTTCATGGTTAGCTGTAAACACATCTATTCCATGAGAATAGTGTTCCATGGCTCGAGCAAAAAATAGTTGGATCCTGTTCATAAAAAGTAATAGATAAAATAAACCAGTGCGAGTTCATAAGCAATCAGTACAGACTTGCACATGTATCTGTCTTACAATAAGGCCTACAAAAAAAAAGGTGTTATATTGCCCTTTAGGTGCCAAAACATGGGTTGGTCGAGCGGAAATCTTCTTCTTCTTTTTTCTTCTCCCTATTTGGGCTGATATTTCTCAGTTTTTAATGCTTTAATATTTTTTTTCTTCTAAAAAACGGTTTAAAAAATAAATTAAGGAGCCGACCATAGATTTCAAGATTTTTGGGTCGGTTGCAAAGGGCACTACAACATCTTTTTCTTTAGGCCTGAGTGATGGGGTTATCTCCTTCCCAAATTATAATCATAACTTCCTTAACGTATGTTTCCCACAATAATAAAGGTATATCTGTTCCCTTAGATATCCTTACATATTCCTTGATAATGCATTTTCCGGGTATGAGAAAACCTGCATGCCCATAATAATTCCAGTAGTTTTGGTTAGATGCTAAGAAATCTGAAGTTCAGATACTCTCTTTCATTATCCCACAAGAACCTCATCTACTGTTAACTGTTCAAACCCTTCATTGCAATATAAACGTTACATGGCACAATATTATAACTGTATTTTAGAATAAAATACAAAAAGAATTTTTGTGAAAATAAAATGTTGTACTCTTCATTACTTTAGGCAAAGACGCATTAAACAAATGCCATCGACTTACTGGGTTCCTTCAATGAGTCTTTCTTCTTTCTCTGCACTGCTGACCAGACATAAGGCTGTAGCAAAGTGATTCAAGGCAGCTGATAATCCTAAACATTGAAAGAAAAAAAAATATACCGGTATACAAAAACAAAATGAATGTGATTGTGCCTCTAATATGCTGCCATCTACATGTACTGTAAATCATTGATCAATGATCCTGTGACCATTACTAGCATCTGACCCCACCAATCCTAACTCTTTCCATTTGATCTTTTAATGTTTCAACATAAGGTATGTAATGATACAAATTGAATTATTATTTAAAATCAATGCGCCACTACTTTCAGTGGTGAAAGTGAGCGCTAAAAAAAAAAGGTTAGTGAAAGTTTCTAGAACTCTGAGCGCTTGCCGTTGCGCGAGGGGTTCAAGCAAGTCCTTGAAAACCAGTACCTCACCCCCACCCCCCAAATTTTAACCCGAATTTACATCTATCTCAAAGACTGTCCTTTTTTGGATGAAAAAATCTTGATTTAAAAAAAATGAAAAATCAGGGGGCGGGGGGTGGAATTGGGGGGTAAAAAAATTGGGAAAACGATTTAAATTGAGAAATCATCAGGCCTGTATTTTTTAACATAGTTTTCAGAATACCGATTTAGAGTTTCTGGGACTTACTATAGAACTTGACACGATTTTCAGAATACTACCAGAGTTTGGTTGACATTGGTTCCATCATTGTTATCACAGTAATTTGATACATTCTGGGATTTTTAACACTTTCATGACTCTGTAATCTTTCACCTTTTAAAGCTAAAGACCAGTTATGGTCATGCGATTGCATTGTGAAAGAAACATTGTGAAATCGATCAGAAAAGGTTGATCATCTAGCATAGATGTACTGCAAGGTTCTGGAATCATCAAAATGATAAGAAATTTGGCCAAGTCTTCATAAAGTTAGAATCACTGTACACAGAAAGATGTATATGGGACTACACACACGTGCGCAACACGTGCATTTGTATCTCTCAACAGGCGAGAGATACATGTACACTAATTTACCAAATATATCAATTAGTAGGCAGTTTTCCGTCAACATTTTTATCATTATGTATTATTCAAAACATATTCTTTCACATGATTCGTAATAAGAGCTTCCATTTCATTTTTTGAAATTGGGGCGTTTCCAATACTGGTCTTTACCTTTAACACCTAAAATCTAATCACTTCATCCTACATCGTCCAAGTGGGGTTTGAATCACTTTAATGCTTTGCAAGTGATCATGGTGATAAGATATTTTCTCCTACTTTTATGACCATGTGACATTTAACCTTTCACTCTTTCACTCTTTCTAGTCACTTCATCGTTGCATGCTAATACATACTCTGTCCAAGTTTTATTTAAACTGTTTTCATACTTTTCAAGTTATCATGGTAATAAGCTATTTCCTGGCATTAACACAAAATTACGACCCTGTGACCTTTGGCCTCTTTGATCCAAAATCTAATCAGTTCATCCTTGCATGCTCATACATACTTAATCAAAGTCAATGGGTTTTGAGATTTTGTGGTAAATTAAAAAGGTGGTTCCAGGTCTTTAAATGAACCCCTCAAACAAAGTTTGGAATTTAAAGTTGGATTGATTATATCTCTCTTATCAATGCATAATCAAATCAATCATCGTTTTTATTTTTATCATTAAGGAAGTAAAAGTGATACCATATTAGATATGATTTTGCAGCCATGGTGTGAGCAATACATCAGAATAAGGGGCAGGGTCAAAAGTGAAAAGTTTCAATATGATCTAGTAAGCACTGATATTGTTATGCAGAGCACTCTTCTTTCTATGTAGGAGAGTATACTTTTTGTAAATAACAGTGAGGCTATTGTTCCCAATTGGTCATCCATGAATCACAAATTCTAAAGAATGTGACATTGAAATGTATGCACTATGGTGACTTGTCAGGCAAGAATTACTACTGTTTGGTCATCAACTTTCTGAAGCATCATGCATAGGTTAACAACTACTGAAAAGGCAAAAGGGCAAAATGAATGCACAGTGAAACAAGAGCAGTGCGTGTTGCAACTTTTCACATTTGACATTGCCCCTAAGGGGTCTTGTTAATTATTTTTGAAGGAGGTAATTTGAATTTTATAGGAGGTACCATCTCAGCGAGGGAGCGAAGCGACCAAGCCCGAGGGAGCGAAGCGACCGAGGGGGGGAGGGTGTGGGAGGGGGGTGTCCCCCCTCGCACGGTAGGGACCTTTTGGGATTTTCCACTTGAAATCGTGCAATCTGGTGCATACCTAAGAAGAAAATTTGTAGTTATCTTTCCTACCTTGTATTACACATATATTGTAATAAACACACATATTGTTCATGTTTAATATTACATGAACAATCATAACTCATAAGAAAAGTTATTAAGTTGATAATTATTTATCACTTTGTACCATTACTTTGTAATTTTTAATTAAACTGAGATGATGCACCATACTCAATCTTTCTACATCATGATTTGTTGAATACATGTACAGTATTTAAATAATGGGCAGCAGAGGCTAGATTTTGATTTTGCAAGATAAATACATGTTTGAGTTTGGCAGGAATCCATCCATGGTTCTTGAGATAACGTGATCACAAGCTATTTTTGAATACATAATGAAACCTGTGACCTTTGACCTTTGACCCCAAAATCTACTCGGCTCATTGGCTCTGCAAGATAAATACATGTTTTGAGTTTGGCAGGAATCCATCCATCGGTTCTAATGATAATGTGATCATAAGCTGTTTTTGCATACATAATGAGCCCTGTGACCTTTGACCCCAAAATCTAATCAGATCATTGGCTCTGCAAGATACATACATGACTAAAGTTTGGCAGAAATCCATCCATAGGTTCTTGATAAAACGCAATCACAAGCCATTTTTGCATACACAATGAGCCCTGTGACCTTTGACTTCATGACCCCAAAATCTAATCAGTTCATTAGCTCTGGTATATATATACATGACCTAAGTTTGGCAGGAATCCATCAATCGGTTCTTGAGATAACATGATCACAAGCTATTTTTGCATACAAAATTAGCCCTGTGACCCCAAAATCTATTCGGTTCATAAGCTCTGCCAGATACATACATGGTTTAAGTTTGGTAGGAATCCATCCATCGGTTCTTGAGATAACGCCAGACCTCCCAACATTTGATTTTCAAATTTCCTAAAATTTTGCGCGTCTCAGCAAAATGTATGGACGTCGTGCCATGTCTGGCTTATCAAGAAATATGCATCATATGCAGCTACCCAACAAAAATCTTGATGTTGGGCACATTTACATGTAATTAAGGGATTTTTACATGAGGTTTCAAATTTGATTTTAAAAAAATTAAAAATAATTCAGATCGCATGGACTTAAACTTTGTGTGTGTTTTCCATAAAGTATACTACATGTATTAGTAATCGTCGCTGCCATCGGCATCGCGCGCGTTTGGCTAGGCTTTGCATGCCATTTGATGATGTTGTTGTTGATGGACTGGTGATACAAAGAAAGTATTGATAGTGGTGGTGATACAGTGACAGTAATGATAGTGGTGGTGATAAGAGGATAGATTGTGGTGATATGATGATAGGAATGATAATCATGGTGGTGATGATAAGATGATAGTTGTGAAATGATAGTAATGATGTTCATGGTCGTGCATGGTAATCTAATAAAAGTACGGTAATGATGTTAGTGATGATTGGTTGATATTAGTTGTGATGGTGGTGGTGGTACGTGATGAGGAAGACATATATATGGCTGGCAATGATAAAGTGAACATCCTGTTTTAAAAATAAATCAATTTAAACAATACTAAAACAATTTGGTACATGCATGGACTGGGAGAATGAATTGCTGTTTGTTTGATATAGCACATTTTTTTTTTTTTTAAATGGCATTTCAAAATTCCCTTATAAAGCTAATTAAATCAACCTAAAGGCCCGGTCCCACTGCACTTATGCTATGGTCACATTACCCAAAAGTAGCCTGCTCGGCGGCCAAGCGGCGAGTTTTTAACCAATTCTGTCCGGCGTCTGCCCGGCCACCGAGCAGCGGCCACCCGGGCACTGCTCGTTTTTAGGGCATCGCTCGGTCGCCGCTGAAGTTTTAGCGCGGAGTTAAAATTTGGGCGGCGCCTGCTCACTTTTCACTCGCCGCCCAAAATACGCTCGGTGCCTGGGCGGTCGCCGCCCGGGCACTGACCTAATCGCTGGGTGATGCCTAATTCCAGCAGCGACCGAGCAGGCTACTGATTGGTCGGTCGCTGCTCTGATTTGTGACCATAGCTTAACGGATGCAAAGAGGATGTAAAACGTTTAAAAATCTTGCCATCCGTTGGAAAACGCTATGTATCGATTGTGTACTCATTGCATACGTGTTGCATACGCTCTATCCATCAAGCATCCGTCCACTGTGATTTCATCCGCGCAAAAAGTTTTGAGCTGCACAAAACTTTTAGAACGGATGAACTTCCGCCGTGTACGATGTAAATACGCGACAAATACGAGCAACAAACGTTCTATGTCCGTTATCATCAGTTAAACGTCCGCTGTATCCTCTCTGCATCCTCTGGGCATCCTCGCAACTCACATCCGCTGCAGCTGAAAACGAAAAGAGGGAGGAAAGATAAGGTACATGGAAAGTCTATACATCGCTAGTAGCACGGAAATAGAAAGGATGTAAGCGTATGCATCTCGTTTATAAAGTATTCAAAGCTGTCATCCACTTCCATCCGCTTTCATCCGCTAGGCTTCCGATGAACATCCGTTTAACATCCCCGCTACATACTACCCATGTCCGTTATTTTCCGTTCTGTTTTTGCAAATTTTCGCAAATACTCGTCGGCTGTGTCCTTTATGCATACTGTACGTGTTGTGTCCGTCGGCCAGTGGGACCGGGCCATAATCTAGAGATAATTATCGATCAAAATTGATTACTCTCCCCCTTTCTCTCCCCCACCCCCTCTTTCTCCCTCCCATCTCTCTCTCTCTCTCTCTCTCTCTCTCTCTCTCTCTCTCTCTCTCTCTTTGGATTTAGGCTTACATTATTATTCATTTGCATTTTATGAGCTGTGAATATATATATATCATCGTTTCATATTGCCAAATGTATATTATTTGTTTTAAATATAGGCCCATTTGTAAACTGTTTTTTAGCCAGTGGCGGCAATCAACAGTGTTAACCATGAATAAATAAATAAATAAATTATTACTTCAATATCTCAGATAAATCAAGAGTACATACATGTATGTATATTAAGATAACATCTGGATTGTTTCTTCATCTTAGATGTTAATGCATGAGAATATAATCATAGATCTTGACCTAGGTTAACTTGACCTAAAAAGAAGCCCATAATACGACTTTCTGAATCATTTTTTTTAAATCCAATATTAAGTCTATAAGGCCTAAGCACAGTCATTGTGAAGTTGGGGAAGGATTAACCCAAATTAACCCAGCAGTGGAAAACACTCCGTCCCTCGGATAGGACGTTAAATGGAGGCCCCATGTACAGAAGAGTCACTACCTTTGCATGTTAAGAACCCACTGCACTATTCGTATAAGAGTAGGGGGAAACCCCGGTGTAGTGGTCCACCTGCACACACCCCCAGTATAGTACGATAATACTCTGTAAAGAGGTCTGTACTCAAAAGGAAGAAGAAGATATTACCCAATGAACAATATTTTGATTTCAGTTGTCCACTTCGAATCTGATTCTGTGTTAGCAGACGACCATGCCACTGTACTGTGTACATATGCTAAACGATGCGCGATGCCGATGGCAATGTTATAGTGGCGTTAATGATACATGTATAACTCTGTGGAACAGACACAAAGCTGCTCAAGTCCACGCGCATGCATACAAACCATCTAGTACACTGATAGTCTTTGCTCAAGTGGCAATATTGGCAATTTCGACATGTTAGGGTTACGGGGAAAAAAATTGCGACCCGCTGGGTAAGCGTGGCTTCACTCCAGTCGCCGCTGGAAGTAGCTGCGCTCGCTAGATGATACATCGCAAAATTTATTTATGGCGAAATCAGACCACTCAGTGACAACAAATGTACAAGTATCAAAAATACAAGTCATTGATTACTTATAAGTGTTTATATTGTCAGTTTGAGATCATCGTCAGGATTGATGACTGCCTTTTATCAGGAAAATGACGTCACGATTCGCCGAAGCTCCATACTTGCGATAACTGCCATCACACGCCGTACATATAATACACGCACTGTACTTGTGTACTGTACATGTACATAATACACTGTAAAGCATTGTGAAGATCACAATTTTCACTTCCGCATAACTGTATTTCTTCACCAATATATGATTTTTTTTTTGGTGGAAAATAAAAGACAAAAGCGGAAAATCAGAAAAAGAAAAATAAAGCGGAAATTTTCCGCCAAAAGCGGAAAGGTTGGGAGGTCTGTAATGCGATCACTAGAACGAGACGTACTAACGGACAACCCGAAAACATAATGCCTCCGGCTACTTCGTAATGGGGGGGCATAAAAACGAATAAATCTACTTATTACTGAAACATGGAAAATTCTCGAGACCAGTTGATTTTCCTCGTTATATCAGGACGTACATAAAATGCTCATATAGGATTCCCTGTACATGTACAATAATGATCGTTATTTCCTAATTCGCAAGCTCAAACAGAAATAAATATTTTCCTATTGAGCCTACAAAATTTGCTGAAACAAAAAACATACAACACATACATATATATACAAACTGATACAAAATGAATCACCTTGGGGGGTCTAATAAGCAGTCTTCGTATACTGTACTATTCATAAATACCAGTGTTGAGTTAGGACCGTGACCATCAATGATAATATTTCTACAACAATTTATGTCTCCTTGGCAATCTGTATATCACATTAGGACTTTAACAAATCATGAATTCCGTAAAAACAGAAAAATCAGAACTGATTTTATTATTTACTACCTAAATGTATGTATCTTCCTATTATTTGCTATTTTACCTTAACTACGCAGCCATCGAGAACTAAAACATGACATCCGCGCATGCCCAACCCCAGTACATCGCCTTCCCAGGGTTACATGCGCGCACTCATGCCTGCCATCATCCTCTTTAACGAGCCGCCTGAGACAACACTTAAGGAGAGGGGATGAAGGGAGGGACATAGGTAGAGACAAAGATTTATATATTAATAATAAAATCAGTTCTGAATTTTTCTGATTTACCATAAGAAATCAATGTATCTACTTATTATTTGCTAAACCAGCACAGAAACACCGAGTGGCATGTCCCAAGGGGAAGGTGATTAATGGGGATTAATGGCCAACAATGCCGCTAACAGGGACAAAGTCATGAACAGTACCTCCCCAGAAGGAACTGCCCTGAGATAAAAAGAAGTGAAAGAAACGGGAGACTGCCAAAAGGCAGCCCCAAAAATATCCTTTAGACCAATACCTCAAAAAAGTACTGATGCTCATAGTATCGTGGGCTCTGGCCTCACAAAAACTCTTGGTCCTGTCCAAGTACCATTTGAATGCCCTCACTGGGTACCATATTTAGTCCTCCTTGACCAGGAAAAATCAAAGAGAGGGTTGAGGAAAACCTCAACAGGCCCGGAGGAAACCAACTGGTTCATAACCAAAAAAAGGGGGCCTGGGTAAAAGTCTAATGCCCCATTTATCCCACCGGATAAGGCCGGAGGAGGTATAGAGGGCACGGAGAGTACTCCTCCTCTGCCCAGACGCAAAGCGATGAGGAGCAGAGCCTAGACCATGAGATGCAGGAGAGAAGCTTTCGACATCAGTCCAAAGGGAGGCTTAGACAATGCCTTAGGCAGTCTCCAAACAGGAGACAACTTAGGGTTAGCTGGTTGTTGTAGAAAAAAACAAACACAGCAACTTGGTTAGGATCCGGAAATCCAAAAGAAAGGTGGCCATGGCCGAGCGGTATCCACGAAAAGTGGAAAGGGCTCTACAATCGCGCCTACTGAAGCCATACAGGGTGAAACACATAGGTCTTCAAAACCCAACGGGAATAGGCTACCAGACGAGAGTCGTAAAGGGACCTCACGAGGTCTCTACGACTCTCAGCTACAAACCTAGAGGCTCTCTCAGAGAGTCCCAAAGCCTCAGCGTCTTCCCAACAATCGCCGGGCTGTCAGAGAGAACACAGTGGGACAATGATGAAGGAGCCTGCCAGACGCTGGGACACTAGGTCCGGCCTCAGCGGGGGAGGGAAAGGATGTCCGTCCAAAAGAGACAGAAATCAGAAATCACTGATTTGAAAACAGCCGGTACAGGAAACCCACCGGGAAGCTCGTTGCCTCAAAACAGCAGTGACGGACTCTGATTACCCTCAGGGTTAGCTGGGGAATTGTGTCTGAGAGAAGCCCGTGCAACAGTCCTCAAGGACTGGCCAACCAATCTTGAACAGCGCGGTGATATTGGCTAAAAGCCAATCCTCAGGTAGATCTCCACTGTCTAAGGATTGTTGAAATACGTCGCGCAGTACTGGTGCTATTTCATTTGCAGTTTCCTTTAGCATCTCTCAAAATACAAGCCCCTCTTCTTAAGCATTACATGTCTGATATTTCGAGTCACAGACAGTTGGGTAGCAAAGTTAAAGTATGTCTGATAATTCACTCCCAGTCTCGAGACATATACGTGTGTTTACTAGAAAGATGATCATCAATTGGATCAAAAGTTGAATCATAAAAAGGTAAGATCCTACCGTAATGTTGGTCCCTCAAGGGGCTTCGGGACAGGCGAAGTCCAGCTCCCGTCAGTGTGATGCAAACCAATAAATTGAGACAAAGCTGTAATCTGAGGTTAGCTTCTCTAGCTCCAACACCAAGCCTAGACATCTTGGCAGGTATCGAGATGAACAATGGCTACTTCTGTAGTAATTAATTCAGCGTTTGGACCGGTTCAATGTGTGGATAACACAATGAATGCCAGCGCTAAATATTATCAGTTAAAAATCAGACTAAAAAGTCTATCTATCTAAAATACGATGATGTTCTAAGAAAAATGTCCACATGAAATATGCATACTAAAAATCACATCGAATAGATTCCGAAGTGGAAAAAGGTATTAAAAGTCTATTAAAAAAAGCGAAGTCACGGTAAAAGCAAGATGGCAGCAAAGCACAGCAGTGACGATACGCGTGAAGCCACAGTAAGTCTTGCTGTATGGAGACTGCCTCTCGCGATCCCCAGAACTCCGGCGTCGGTAGCGATGGTGTTAGCTACTCCTATGCGTCGAAGCACAGCAGTGACGATACACGTGAAGCCGCAGTGAGTCGTGTTGTACGGAGACTGCCTCTCGCGATCACCAGTTAGCTACTCCTACGCGTCGATTCTACAACATCCAAATAGTCGGAAACGCGAGATCAAAATCCGTTTAAATCCAGTCCCATCGGATCTAAAATTTTCCTAAAAGTTCTTAAAGGTAAGCTTTGATAGTAATAAAACTCAACTAAAAGGTTATTTTACAAGAATTTTGTGGATAAAACAAAAAAATAAAAAAAATCAATCGGTAAAAACAGGAGCTCTAGTAAAACATGACCGATCTAGTCCATGATCGTGTGTCAACGCTTAGCTCCACTGATAACCGATCACATATGCCAAAGCCAACTGGGAGATAGAGTCCCAGACAGGCCCGCAGCCCGGGGAAAGCCAAACCCCAGAGGGGGAGGGTGAGTCCCGATCCAGCTACCCACTCCTCCCTTGGAGGAGTAGCAAGGGTAGTGGGAGAAGAGAGCCTAGCCACCACCAAAAGGAAAAAGGCTAGCCACAGTATAGAGCCTCTCAGAGGCCGGATTACACCAGAAAAGTGAAACTCGGCTCAGACAAGACACATCCGGGGCAGGGGTC